TGTGATCCTATATCGTAATCGCAGCGATCGAGAATTTCCGCCTATCAGTACTGTTAGTACCATAACAGGTCTATAGTTCTTAATGTCCTGTTTATTGTCTTTCTTAAACACTGGGACCCGATCCCCTTTCTTCCAGTGCAGAGGCCAATCACATGATTCAATGCAGCGGCTGTATAAGTCAGCCAGGGGATGAGAAAGCTCCCTACTCGCTGTCTTTAAGATCTTAGTAGGTATAAGGTCGTGGCCAGTGCTCTTGTTAGAGTCCAAATTAGACAACGCAACCAAAATATCCTTTGGCTTAAGCACGCGGAATTTAAATTGTGAGGTATCGTCAGATAGTCGACGATTACAGCTTTGTGTTATTGTATGTACACTCTCGTGATAGCACAACTGATCCATGGACATTCCTAGTAAGCGAGTATCGCCAATGTCATTATCTACTGAGGAAAAATATTTGGCGAAGTGGTCCGCGATCTTGCATTGATCCCGTTCAATAACACCATCGATGTCAAGGGCGAGGAAGGTGTTTTTACACTTTTTCGACTTTGAATGAAGAAAAGGCTTGAAAACATTATATAAATTCTTGGGATTTGTTTTCAGATCATCAGCTTTTTGTTCCAGTACTCTTTGATTACTCTCCGGCAAAGTCTTGTAGCGGTGTTCCTCCCTGTTTTCATTAGTTCCCGGTTTTCTTAGGTAGGATTTCTTGCATATCTCTTCGCGTACCTCCTCTTTTTTCTAATTGCCTTTTTCCACTCGAGCGTCATATATATGGTATGTCCTTTGCACGCACTCTCATTTTTTTCAGCGGGGCATGATCATTAGTAATGCTGGCCAGGAGGGTGTGCCAATATGAATATTGGTCGTCGATTGAGTCGAAGATGGTATACTTACATGCCACGGAGCTCTGTATAATAAGTCCATCCGCAGTTGTTGTTCGTTCAGTTCTTCGTAGCTTTTTACAGTCAGGACCTTGCTTTCATAAAAGCCGTTTCGTTCTTTCAAGAGTCCATGTACCAGTGCATGGTCACGTATTCCTACCTCACAGACTCCACAATCCATAAATAGCTCAGGCTTGTTGGTCAAGATACCATCTATTAGAGTTTGGCTGTTGTTATTAATCCTTGTTGGTGTGGTTACGACACAAGTTAGGTCGTGTGTGTCTTCCCATCCCTCGAAAGCGGTCGGAATCTGTTGAGGTTTAGGTCACCTGTTATCACTAACAATGATATTTCAACTGAAGCCCATAATATCGGGTCGTTGACGTCTTTTTCGAGGGTGACATGGTAATTGTTTCCAATTAGTTTGGGTGGTCTGTATATTCCCACAATAACTATATCGTGTCCACCAAATTTGGACTGAATTACCAGAGACTCGATCGTGGTCAATTTGCTTGGCAATCCCAGCCGTTTGGAAGGTAGTTTGTCTGAAATATACGCCATTACGCCGCCTCCTCATTTTTTTCGATCGTTTCTNACTCTCTTCTGCACTGAATGAACTCTCTTCTGCACTGAATTAACTGATAACTGCATTCATCTTAACCAATCACAACTGAGAAATTTTTTCATGTATATTACTAGGTGTAAAAATCTGTCATCGGGGCACATTGCCTAATGCGACCCTAACTTTTCCAGTTCGCAAAAACTTTGAAAACCGGCCAAAACATCAAAGACGCCGTAGTGCTTGCGTAGGACAGGTAGATTTCGGAAAACTCGGGCTAAACAATAGCTATCACAACGGTAACTGTCTTCGCTTGTCAATGAACAGCAAACGACTTGACTGGTCGCGGAACTGACCAGGCATATGGCGCTCGAAGTTATCTTGCTGACGTCGATTTCTCGCTCTCATCATAGCGGCAGTCAAAACAGTTAAACAGGCGTTAACCCATCTTTCATAGATCTAACTGAATAAGATTTTTCTGTGGTTTTTTTACCGGCAAAGTGGAAAACTTTGCCCAAGTGCGACCCATACCTTACCTGACCTCGCTACAGGTAAATTTGCGATTCAATTTGTAAACATGCTTGAAAGACCACACATACACACACATTACACACACACACCCGCACACACACACACACTCACACATGTACTCACACACACGCACACGCACACACACATGTACTCACACACACGCACACGCACAAACACACATGCGCACACATGCATACACACACGTACACACGCACGCACACATACACACACATGCACACACGCACACACCACACATGCACACACACAGACATGCACACACACACATGCACACAGACGCACTCACATACGCACGCACACACACGCACACACACACGCCTACACACACATGCACACACATGCACACACACATGTACACACACACACACGCACACACCCACCCAAGTGTGGTAGTATAAGACATTTCGTTATTACAAAACACTCTTCTAACATCAAATGTTAGGTCCAGGTTTTTTTCAAAATAGTATCAATACTTTTACTCCCGGAATCTCATTCATAAATAAATTCTCCTTATTATCTGCTGGGAAGTTCTTATAGTGTAAGTTTGGAGAATTTGGTATTGATCAGAATTAACTAGTTATCCCTCAGTTGATATTTTACTTTATTCTCATCACTTGTCTCCTTGATATGGTATCAATATTGCAAGCGGAGATTCAGTCTTAGTCAGTTTTGGGAGTTTAAAGGTTAAAATACACAGATATTTTTCTAACTCCTGTCATTCCTCGATTTAGGGTATTTCACCATTCTGCCATTCCATCATTCCAACGAATAAGTCGCCCGGTTTATTCTACCCTTGCTGACAATTGGCAAACTCAGTTGAATTCGGAGGGAGGATCAAACCATGTGGGCTTTGTACTGTGAATCAGTGTGTTAAGAATTAAGGAAGGAGGAGCTCTCTCGAATGTGGACAAATAGAAGGGAACAAAGAAAAAGAATCTGGACCAGGGGAATTAAATTAAAATTGCTTGTTTTGTTGTAAGTAAACTGTACCTAAAAATATCATTATAAAGCATGAATTCACTAAATCGGCACCTTCTTCATCAAAAAAGGGATGAGTGGATAATGACTTGAAGAATTGAAGAAGGAAATTATTTAGTTTTCAACGGTATATAGAACATAGGTAATCAACAAAGAACTTTATGAGTACACATGACTTTTTTCTGGATTACTTAGATCTTCAGATCAAACTTGTCAAAGCATTTGTTTTATGTTTGCCTCTTGCTGCTAGTTGGGTCATTTAATGACTGCATTAAGTTTCTATTTTTTTGATATACATACAGCTCCAAATGATTCAACCGTCGCTAACAGAGTATAAAGGGGGGTGGCTGCCATTGAGGTGGATTATTAGAATACAACAGAGCCTTGGGGAAAGGGGGGGAGATAGGGTAAATCTTATTGTGACTCAAAGAAAATCCTCCAACCCCCACCACTACAACCCTCCCCCAGGTGTTAATTAGTAACCAATTCCTAGGGAAAACAAAAAAAATATTGGATACAAAAACTTTTTCAAAACAAGTGAGCCTTTAACGATTATGTTGGCATAGGTTTTGGTATAATTTAGCAAATCGAACATACCTATTTAAGTTTAGCTTTGGATATGTGGATGATTGAAGAGCTGCGTCCAAATAGAGACGAATTCAGAAAATTCCTGAAGAGATAGATAGATAGATAGATAGTTTATTAATAACCCATTTGCAACAAAAAGTTGAATTATACCATTATTTACAAGTTTTAAACATTGATAATTACGTTAGACTAGATGTGTGAAAACAATGAGAACACTAAATATATGTTCTAAAAAAACAAAAACGGTTGTATAAAACCGTTCAAGCCTTAAGGGTATTGAAGGTAATAAAACTATGACGAAACCTGTTCGTCTTAAAAACTGGCTTAAACTTCCGCATATTTCTTAGGTTAAAGGTACATGTGTTGCGAGTAGGAAGAGGCTCATGGAGCTTGTTCTGTTTATCCT